GCCCCCCCGCCACTCTCTCTGAAAAGCAATGGAAAAAATATCCTCAATTACCTCTTGTGCCTGCCCCAACCGGAGATCAAACCGACATATGTGCCCCGATTGGGAATCAAACCCGCCACCTTTCAGTGTAAGGGATGACACTCTAACCAACTGAACACTGGCCAGGGCTAGTCCAGTATTTTAAAAATAAGTTACCTACTACTCTCACATCTCCAATTAATAAAACAACATGAAATTGGAATATCCAGGCTTTCTTGAAAGAATAGGTAGGTAGTAATCCATGAAAACGATGTGACAGGAGCGTGCCTAAAAAAGTATCCCCTTGAGGTGCAGTCTCTTTTAATTGGAGATCATGCATTAAACAGGATTGAATATCTTTGATAGAGCAGTGTCCTCTGCTTGGATGTGAAGACAGAAAACAAATGGCGCAGTTGACAAACCACTGGACTGGGCATTAGAGAAGCATGTTTGTGCTATTTGGCCTTGAAGGTCAGGCTAGGGAGGGCTGCTGCTCTCCCCGACTGCCTTGCACAGCTCTGGGCAGGGGCCGCCATTCTCCCTGGGTCCTTAGAAAATTGAATAGAGAGTTCCTCCAGAAAAACTAAATTTGGTCTTTATCACCGGTGCCCCGAGCTGTGCAGCACGCAACCTGCACAGCTCCGCATGGCTGTTCTGAAGTAACCTAGTAATCTGGGCTCCTGCACAGAAATTTTGATGAGGCAGGAGACAGAAGACATGCCAGGAAATAATTATGGTTCTTTTGAAGCACACATTCTCTAGCTCTTAGATATATCTCAAGAAAGTGAATTTTGGCTTATTTTCAATTGTCCCAGGACTCTACTATGTTGTCTTTTCAATGGATAAAAAACATGTGAAACCCAGTTATGTTTGATATGGAAGATGCATTAGTATATATATCCCTAAATGTCTGAGATACTAATTTCTCTCTATACTTACAAGGCACTGCAGAGCTACCCTGCAGATGTGTAAGCTGCGCAGTGGTTTAAACTTTTATGATTTCAATTTGCTTCCACCTGAGGCAAAGGGCTTTGGCACACCAAGTTATTGAAGCTTCTGAATTTCCTGGCACAACTTAAGTGAATTTGAGGATACTCCATGCAGTCAGCTTAGCACTAATAGATTTTTAAAGACAAATGCATTTAATATTTATGCTCAATGGGCTTTTTAAAAACAAAGTAATTACTTACACAGCATTAATTATATGAGCAGCTTCCTTCTGACAATTCAAATTCTTGTCTTCTGGACTCATTTCCGAATATCTACAAATCAGGTGCTGGGAAAAAACACACAAGAAGGGCATAAAACGACTAGGTGCCTTTTCTAATTTGCACTATGACTGACCATGTCTGGGAACTTGAAAACAAAACCCATTGGTAGCTATTTTTCCTTCTTTGGTTACGAAACATTACGTGGTAGCTTATGCAGCTAGAACCGGAGCGGTCAGCTCCGGGCCAGCTCTCCGGGCTCACCTTGCACCGTCTGCTCTCTCTCCCTGCTGCCCAGCCGAGGCCAGGCCTTCCTTCCCCTCTAAGCACACGCAAAGCTCTCTCCACTTCTGGTTCTGTAGTGGACAAAGTCCACACTCCCAGGGCCAGGACTAGGGTGAGATGAGTAAGGCACTCACCTCAGAAGCAAAATTTAAGGGGCACCAAAAAACTCAGTAACCAAGATAAAGAACATTTTAATGCAAGACTATTTGAAAAATCAAAATTAATGCCCCAAAGCCGTGGAGAACACAATATCAAAAGTTTAAATAAAGACAGAAGGCAACCTGAATTTGCATCATCCCACCTCACCTGCCTTACCCTAATCCTAGCCTGGCTGGATATTATCTTTGAACTTTGGATATTTAGTTACCGTGGATATACAGCATTAATTTGGATTTGTAAAAGATTGCAATAAAATATTATTTATCTTGATGACTGGGTTTTTGGTGTCCTCTTTAATCTTGCCCCAGGACAAATGCCTAGTTTGCCTCACCTTAGTCCCAGAAGATCCCCTTGGGTCCCTTGTGACTATTTTTTGTAAGCTCACAGGCTCTAAGTGTGGTTTTGATCCAACAGCCAGCACCCGCCTCTTTTGAAGCTGCCTGCCCCAGGCTGGAGGGGCCGACTGTGCCTACACAGAGGGAGAGCTGGAGGCTCCCCTGGCCCACTCACCCCAGCTCTGGGGGCTTCCCTGGCAGCACATTCTTGCATAAGAACCCTCTCCTCTATGTCTCCCTCCAGGAACATGGCCTAATTCAGGGCTGCACGCAGGCTATTCCTTGTGATTCCAACAAGCTCTTTATAGGGCTGGCTGCTTCTCACCAAGTCACTGGAGTCAAAATGTCACCTTCCTTGACCATCAAACCCCTCCTGCTCTCTTATATTCCATCATCCTATTTATTTCTTCCTAGTGCTAGTGAGAACTTATAATTATTTTATTTATTTGCTTACTTTTCCTTGGTTATTGGGTTTCTTACTAGCAGTCAAGCTTCCAAAGGACAGGAGCCATGTCTGGTCCTTCTTTCTGCACCCCCAGGGTGAGCCCCGCGTCCCACACTCAACTGATGAGTGCACACCCGTCAGCATCCCGCTTCCTGTGGGGCTAGAGCTGGACGCTGATGAAGAGCTGTGCACGTTTTTAAAGGTGAATGAATGCTTTGGAGTCTTATTAAANACTGATGAGTGCACACCCGTCAGCATCCCGCTTCCTGTGGGGCTAGAGCTGGACGCTGATGAAGAGCTGTGCACGTTTTTAAAGGTGAATGAATGCTTTGGAGTCTTATTAAAGATATTCACGAAATTTAAAAAAAATTGCCTGAGGAGTTTATATTATAAAAGCCTAAGAAGTTAAAACAAAACCCTGAGAGGGTACCATTTGCTGTTTTCTTATCACGGGGGACAAATTCTCTACATCAAATTTTCTAATTTACAGGAAAACAGAATAAACTCACCTAATCCATAAAAAGTGTTATTGACACATAGAATAAGTAGAATAATGAAGGCTTGGTGAAAATCCCAGATTTTATTATTAGTAGCATCACATTCTGGCCAGCGGGGATATTGTTACAAAGTGTTGAGGCAATAAGACCTGAAACCCAAGGGCCCGAAGGATGGCTGTTGAGTTTGGGCAGAAAATCACAATCTTAGTATCCGGGGCACCAGGGAACTGGAGTTCACATACTTTCTTATGCAAAGAGATTGTCCAGACTAATAATTGCCCTGAGCTTTAAAGAGAATCTTGTGCCACCTTTCTGATTCTTAAGGCATCTTACTCCCACGGCATGTCTTCAAGTCCTAGAACGCACATAAAGGCCGATTAATCTATGCTTCCCAGGATCCCTTTCATTTTAAATACCTGTAGTTGCTCATCAATGTAAGGGATTTTTAAAATCTCTATAGCAGATGGTCTCAGTGAAGGATTCTTGTTCAACATGCTGCAATGTTTAAAAAGAAAATTTCTTTTCAGATGAACTTTTGCAGAAGTACAATTTAAAACTGTTTCGGTGGCAGGACGTTCTTTCCATACCGTTCCATGATGGCATTCAGCTCTCTTGGATGGCTCTTAGGGAGGGAAGGAGTGTCGCCTTCAACAATGTTTAAAACAATGGACAAGAAATTGGAGCCCGTGAATGCATGGTTCATGCAGCACATCTCATATAAAATGCACGCCAGAGACCTGAAGAAGAGTCGGAGAATTTAAATAAGCAGCGAACGTCCTCTTAAATGTGATCATCACACAAAACCTCGGATGTGTTAGGGCTCTGGTTGTGAGCACTAACATACGCTTCAGTTGTTTGTTCAAAAGCCTTGGTTCCGTAATGTTCTGTTCCATTTAAATATATACTTACTAAAAAACAACCACCAACAAACAAGGAAAAAGTGAGAGAGTGCAAAATCTAAGTCTGAATGGCCACTTTAGTCAAAGGAACGCAAAGAAACCAACAGCAATATGCCTGCACATAGTAGGGACCCAATAAATATTTGATTAGTGTAGTAAGGAATTTCCGAATTAACCTCTATGAAGGGAAAATAAAATGCAGCTAAATATCATCTTCCCAGGGCAGTTTTGTTAATGTTACATATGCAAAATAAAATTTTAATTTATCAGCCTAATCTTCCCTCTAATATGTATCCAAGCACTTTGAAAAGGAAATGCATCCTTTATTAGTTTTTTTAATAGAATCCATTTGCAAGTAGGGTGGAAGAGCAGCTACTTTGCAGCTCACAGGAAAATGTATCATTCCTGCTTCAGGGTATGGAACAGAATATTAAAATTCTAGATCAGTCTAACGCTGCTTTGTATTAACCATGCAAATCAGGAACTTCTAAACCAGCAGAATAATCTTTCAAATAACTACATCATTAAGGAAAGTAAGGCGGAAATTCCTGCCTAAACTCGGTATTAGGAAGAACTGTACTTCTCCTGAATAATGGATTACTCTAAATCTTAGGGGTATTTTGAATTATGTAACTGGCCAGGTCTTCCTTTTCATGTTACTTGCTTGAAAGATGAGAAATAAATTTATAATCGACCTTATGTAAGTTGTGTTTATGTAACTTTTAACATTGTCCTATTTTCTCATAAAAGGCAGGGTACATATAAATAAATACATACAAGACTACCATCATTTTAACCATTGTGAGCGTGAAAATGTGTATTTGTAAGAAAATATACACTGAGAATGCTTCTATTCCAGCAGATAATAATACATTTTATTTACTATTATTTGGAAACTAAAAATTTCCATCTGATTAGTACTTTACATATTTCAAAGCACTTTCACATATACCTCAACAGAGCCTCATAATTTCAATAATTTCCCATTTTATACATGAGCAAAGTGGCTCAGGAAAGTTAAATCACTTGGTCAATTTCATTAGGCATTTTTCTTTCCAAATTCTGGACTATTTCCGTTACAGAATGCTAGAATAAAGGGGAATGTTAGCAGAAATCACATGCTTTTGACTAGAACACCAAGCTCAATGTAAACATTATAAAATATGAACATTATTTGAAGCTTAATAAATTTTGCATCTATCTGTAAGGCTGGTAAGTGGTATCTAGTATAGTAGCACGTATTTAGATTCCTATACCAAAAAATTAAGCACCCTCATGCCAAACCTAACGAAGCAGGAACTATTAATATCATTCTATTTTTCAGATGAGGAAACCATAGATTAGGTAAGCTGGTCAAGGTTCCATATTAAGTTGGTGGTGGAGCTAGAATTGCAGCACAGGCTCTCTCGGCTCTAGAGACATAAACCCTACACTGCCCCACTCTCCACCCTGGGCCAATCACAGCATTTCTCATCAGGAAGGGCTGTCTTGAGTTGGAAATCATGACGAACCCTGATGAAGCCTTTCAGGCGGGGGCTGGCTTCCCAAGCTTACGTCAGGTCCTATCTGGAACCATAACCCACCTTCAAGGACACCGGGGCCTGAGACAAGCCGTGCAGGGCATCAGGCCATGGCAGCGATAGGGCACACAGGCAGTGGGACCCTCGGGGGCAAAGGCAAAGGCAGGCAGGCAAATTTGGCCTTTGTTTTTCCATTGCTTGGCAGGGAAAAGGGTTGGTTAATGGTCCATTGAGCACAGTGAGTTGATCACAAAGTCAAACCCTGCCTTTATGGAGACATAACTCTACCTGAGCCATACTTGAGGAACATACAGTTGACCCTGGAACAACTCGGGGATGAGAGTAGTCAAAATTCGCTGTATAACTTTGACTCCCCAAAAGTTAACTACTACTAACAGCCTCCTGTTGATTGGAAGGCTTACTGATAATATAAACAGTTGATTGATACATTTTGTGTGTTATATGTATTATATACAGTACTGTAGTCTTACAATAAAGTAAGCTAGAGAAAAGAAAGTGTTATTAATAAAATCGTAAGGAAGAAAAATATTTATCGATTGGGAAAGAAAACCACGCATAAGAGGACCTGGGCAGTTCAAACTCGTGTTGTTCAAGGGTCAACTGTATTAAGGTTTTAAAAAAGATGTGAAATTATCTGGCTAAACAGACTATGGAACAGTCTAACTCATTAATCAGGGACTAACTCATTAATCAGTTAAGTTTGATCCAAGACCTTTCTCTCCTTTAGAAACCCTCCCAGCTCCACGAGGCCATGCTATGCGGCTTTCCATTCACCCGCCTCACTTTCATTAGGGACATTTACTTGCACTTGAGCACGTGTTAGAGGACTTCACTGATCAGCCGGTAACTTATGGAAAGAGCTTGGCTATGGTCCCAGGGCACCTGCCTAAAATGGATACAGGTAACTGAAATATGAGACCACCTGATGACTGAAACTACCACGACACTCGGGGTGAAATACTTCTTATTGCCCTATTATAAGTTTTAAAATCTACCTACTATATATTTTCTATGCTACTAACTATACATCCCTGTACCTATGGTTTCGATCTTCTCCAGCGTCCCCCAGGTATTTCTATATGGGAACAGTTATATCATCTCAAACTCATCACCTCCATCCTTTCTGAAGCGCTTTCTGTCATTGGATTCCGGGGCCTTAAATCTGGGATGTGAGAGCCAGGAAAGGGGCTGGGGGGTGAAGCGAAAAAAATAAGCGAGAGGTGCGTTTTACTTAGAAGTCTATGATTTGCAGTCTTTTTCCAAAATACAGCCAACTGTGCAGTAAGCAAGTAAACCTCGAGGGAGTGAATGTAGCTGTGACAGGGAAGGTGGGATCAGGCGCACGTGAGGCACCTTACACTTGAACTTCATAAACTCGCCATCTGTTCCAGTCGGCCCGAACTGCCCAGAGGATTCCTGAAGCACAGGCTGATGATGAATTGCAAACACAGCTCCAACTTTGTCTTGTCTCCAGGTAACTAAATTTACCCTTTGAAATCTGCTCAGACTCTGCAAAGAGAAGCCTACCCCGGAGCAATGCATGGCTCTCGTTGGTTGGGAAAACTATACTGATCTTTTAAATAATACATCTTTTTATTTGATGCAATCGAGGATCCTCTTGTCATCCACCTAGAAAAGAGTACCCAGAATTTAAGCAGTAGAAGGAGTAGAGAGTAATAGATAATATAAGAATAGTGCTTTAGTATATGCTGCCCTAAGTTTTTACTTAGGTAAAATTGAATATCAACATAAACTCATCTAAATGTAATGAAAGACATTGGGCTGCTTGAACTAGTACTTAAGAAGCAATAGCAACTGTTTATTAAGGGCCTATGAGCCGTTAAATGTCCCAGAGCCTTTAACAGTTTTCCCCAAGCTTTAATATGCATACAAATCATGCAAGGATTTTGTTAAAATACTGACTCTGAGTATTTTGGGAAAAATAGTGGTTACATTGGAAATATAGTTTTGGATCTTTCTTGAATTCCTATGTAAGACAGAATAGCTAGATAGCAAAACCAAAAACCATAGCCAACATTTTCAATAAATTTAGGTGACAATGTGTCTCCTCAGACCTCAAAATATAAGCAAATGAAGACAAACAGTCATCATGCAACCTGAACAGTATTAGCATCTGTGTGAGAAGCAGAAGGGATCAATGAACTGACTGAAGGACCCAAGAATAGAAGAACTTCAACACAGCCCAAAAGTACTCACTGAAAACCACTGTGGGTGAATCTAAGAACAGCAGCTGAAACTGGTATGGGACCTGCCCAATCCAAAAGCTGGGTGAATGCAAGAAAACCCCAGGGTAAGGCCTGAAGGGGCTGGGCCAGAATAGCTCAGGACTGGCCAATAGAATTTTCTGCAACAACAGAAGTGTTCTATATTTCTATATACAATTATTAGTAGCTACATATGGCTAATGAGCACTTGAAATGTGGCTAGTGTATCTGAGAAACCAAATTTTTAACTGAATATTTAAAAGAAAAACCAAGCCCAGCCAGTGTTGCTCAGTGGTTGAGCATCAACCCAGGTCACAGTCTGACTCCTGGTCAGGGCACATGCCGGGGTTGTGGACTCGATCCCCAGGAGGGGGCGTGCAGGAGGCAGTCGATCGATGATTCTCATCATTGATGTTTCTATCTCTCTATCCCTCTCCCTTCCTCTATCTCTAAAAATCAATAAAAACATAATTTAAAAAAAGAAAAAGTAAAAGCCATATCAGCCAATATACTATCATGTTTTGGGGACAATCCATAAAATGTTATAAACACAGTTTGGGCGAATTTCATCCTGCTCATACCAGCTCTTTCCAATAACTTTCTTCCACAACTGAGCTTTACAATATTTGAAGGCAGACCATCTCATCTCCCTCCTTGGTGGTGGTCCCATGCCTGCCACACCATAAGAATTTAACCAACAGAAGAACTGAAGACAGGACCAACACTGTGGGGGAGAGAGGAAGGCAGGGAGATCACAGGGTAGTAGAAGAGAAAATAAAAGGGAAAGGGTTCTATTTTTTAATCTTTAGCTCTTCTTGGGGTCACAGTCAGAGATTCCATACAAACCATAAAGTTTGGGAAATGAACATGGACAGTGTTTGAATTTGGGGTGGGGTAATGAGTTAGCAATGAAAATAATGACTGAAGCACCCTGCCAGTTCCAGCTGTTATTCACTTGGCCGCTCCATAAAGGTTGGGTATGGAAACAGCCTCCACTGTTCCACATTTTGACTGGATGGCTGTGCTCCAACTGCTTTCATCACCTTTGACAGCCTCTGTAGGCTCTTTTAAG